AAAAAGCAGAAAAATAACCAAACCAAATAACCTGAAGGGATATTTGTGCAGACAAGAAACTGATGCAACATTTGCAAAAATGCGGTTACCATTATTACGCATGAGAAAAATGAAGATCAAAACCACACTCAGATCTTATCTCACTCCAACAGAATGAACATTACAAACAGATTAAAATATTTAAAAAGACAACTTCTAGTATGAATTTCCACAAAGGGAACTGTTTGTGGAAACGTAAATTAGTATTAATGCTATAAAAAAACAGTTGGGGGTCCTGCAAAGAATAGAAAAGAAAACTACCATACCATCTAGCATTCCCACTCCTGGGTATACATTCAACCTACCTGTCCATCCACAGATAAAGGGATCAAGAAACACTCTTTATGTACACAATAGGGAATGTTCTTCGGCCACCAAAATGATGAAACAGTGTCATGTGGAGCAACCCAGATAAACCTGGAAAACATTATGTTAAATGTAGTGAGCTGGGCCAAGAAAGACAAACACTGAATCTTAAGATGTCTACCTTAAAGAGGTAGAAAGCACAATATTGGTTACCAGGGTCTGGGAGACAGAGGGGGAGTAGGGATCGGTTATGGAAGCAAAGTTATCTTAACCTTAAAGGAATAAATCTGAGTGTTCTCTTCCTCAGCCTCGTGACTGGAATTAACAACATTATATTTTTCAAAAGAACAAGAAAGGAGAATTTTGAGTGTTCTCTCCACACAAAAATAATACCTTATGAGGGAATAGAGATCCTAAGCAACCTGATTTGATCATTACCCAATCTATATGGGTGAAAATGTACCCCTAATTATGCACCTTTATGCTGCAAAAAAAAGTTAACAGAAATAAATACATATTGCTAAAAATCACAGGGAACCCATAAGAGCAATTCATATCTAAAGAATTCTGAGAAATACAATCAAAGTGAGGACCCACAATCCTCGATATTAAATCACACTGCCAAGCTACAGTTATACAGCAGATATATGGTACTTGTATAAAAACAATACCTAGAACTGTGGACAAAAACAGGGAAGACAAAACAAGATCAACGCAAGTATGGACACAGTCAACCCACTTTGATAAAGACCACTGCAATGTGGAAGGCAGAGTCTGCTCAATGAATACCTTTGAGAAAAATTATATCTGGATGCAGAAGAAAGGAACAGGACCTTGATTTTACGTGATATATGAAAATCACCCCCCGCCCCGGGCAAAAAATAAACAATACCCCGAAGACCTGAACAAAAGACCATAAACCACAAAATGTTTTTAACTAAAACACAGGTTGAGCATATATTCTAGGTCACTTGAATCTCTGCTCACCTTTGCAAAGAGAAAAACAAACACCCTGGAAGAAAAACCTCATTGACAATTAAATGCTTTGTCACTGATGAGTATTTTCTTATATGGGTGACCAAAATTACATGCATAAAACGCAAAAATAAACATGGACTACATCAACCTGAAAAGTTTCTGCACAGCAAAGAAACTACTTTCCAAATAAAAAAAGCATCCTATAGATTAGGCAAAAATTTTGGGTAATCATGTAATTCATGAGTTGTCATCTAAGGTGTACACAAAAAATCACTACAAAGTAGCAAAACAATCTAGTATTTCACAAAGGACCTGAACAGACAATTCTGCGACATAAAATCGAACAGATAAAAGGTCCTCAAAATTAACTGTCCAACAAAGTTAGCTGTGTGTGGTTTAACTGAAAACTACACACAGATAATCTCACACTTATTGAATATCTCTAGAAGATTTTTTAAAAATAGGAGAGGCCAGGCTCGGTGGCTCATGCCAGTAGTCCCAGAACTTTGGGAGTCTGAGGGAGCAGATCACCTGAGGTCGAGTTTAAGACCAGCCTGATCAATATGGAGAAACCCCACCTTTACCACTCATACAAAAATTAGCCTGGC